TGATAAGATAACACCCTATGTTATTTTGAACAATGCTGTCATCACATTAACGCATTGGATATTAGCTGCAGATCACTTATTTCCATTTTTTCCTTATTTCAACTTTATTTAGTTCCCTTGATTCTGAATCAAGCAGTGTCAAATTGTATAAAAATCCAAATTCTAGTTGGTGCTCCAATCTCTGGTTTTAGTTATCATACACACATATTATTTCTCATTTAAAAAATTATGTTGAAATTACAAGTAGCAGCATTTACTGTTAGCTATGATTTATCTTGCCTAAATTGGCAAAGTTACACACGTATATATGAATGGTTGATAACACTATGTAACACACTTTTTATTCCCGGGTTATAGATGTCTTTTCCTAATTGATTCTATCATAAAAACATGGGAAACGCTTATTAAACTGCAAAAACGCTGGGGTTTTTTACACATTGAATAGTTGAAAGTTTAAAAATGGAATATTTTCATTAAAGGAAAATTACAAATTAAGTGCCTAGTCTGAAGGAAATAATAGTACTATCCACAGCCACAAATTTAAGTTTCTGGAGTGTAATAACTACATTCAAAGTAAGTACTGCACAATTAAACAGGAAATAACACTTTCAAACCAAGAACAAAATTTTTTCCTGTTTTGTTACATAGTATAATAGATGGGAGAAATAAAAGAAAAGCAGATTCCAATTTTGAATAGGTGTAGAAAGTTCAATATTAACCTTACTGAATAAGGATAACAGTACTAGCAACCATGCTTCTGACAATTGACAATTTCCTCTTAAGGTGCCACCCCCGATGAGAGCCCAAGAGAACCTGCTTTCAGTTGTATGAGAAACTCTCTACTGCTGGACATATGCATAAGGAGCAGAAATGATGCCTTCCTTCCACAGAGAAGTACGAACTAGACCACTGCTTCTTAAATTATGGGTCCTAACCCCAAGTGGGGTCTCCTGAACTCAATGTTGGGGTCACAAAAATTGGCAACAGTAAAAGTTTTCTGAATGCCACTTATTTACACAAATCTATTAGAAATAGTGTTTATAGTGGACTGTTTAGTAAGTCTTGCAAATGCTGATTTATCAGCAAATGTTTGGTTTTTATACCTATGTTAATTATACCTATGCAACTAGTATCACATGCAAAAAGGGGTTGTGAGTGGAAAAAGTTTAAGAAGTCCTGGACTGGATGCCAGAGTATTCAACACAGTTGGGGTGACATACAAATTGCTTCCTCTTAAGCCTATGAGGAAAGCATTCTTGCAAAAGAGTGTCCATGTCTGTGAGACTATCTAGAACATGACTATGCACTGTCCCACAGCATTCTCATGACACAGGATAGTGGCAAGTTACCGTCATGAGTGCCTTCACACAGATGCTCTCATTATACAATTGTAACATCTCGGCTATGCAAAGCCATACTTCAGGATGGAAAGCATAATTTCAGCAAGTTGCTATGCCACTTTCAATCTTTTGTTGTTTTGTTTTATTTTGTTATCATCATCATCATCATCATCATCATCATCATCATCATTTACAGGCACTTTGCAAGTGATGGAATTTTTTTAAATCCAGTTAGAGAAGTGGATAAAGGAGAAGTTAACTGATAACTTTTTGAAAGAATGGGAACCATTGATATCATTCATAAAGAAAAAAGAAAATGTAAAATTGTTTGCGAGTTTTGAAGATTAAATAAAACATTGAAGTAGCAAGGTAGAAAAAATAAAATGTCTGAGGTAAGACATTAGCAGGATTGCAATAATATTTTCAAAGTGTGTCTTTGAGACAAGAAGTCCATATTAACGTTTTAATTTTTGTTAATTTGATTACTGGACACTGGGGAAATCTTGTTTTAATTGGTGTATATAGTGATCTATATAAGTAAATTGTATGGCAACACTCATATTGCTGGAAATAAATGAATAAATGTATAGATTATTTTTAAATGTTTTTCCAGTGAGGGAAATATGGATGATGCCAGCACAGGAGCACCTGGACTCACTGCATAAGTCGAGGGACTGTGGCTCAATCAGGGACTATTGACCAGCTTTGCCCATCAATAGCTCCTGACTGCTTCTTTATCATGGAAAGGTGGTGAACAAATAACAGGTTTTGCAATAAGGACTGTCAGGCAGTCCTGCTGTTGTGCCAGTTCACCCATGTGATAAAGTGCTAAGGCAGCCCTGATATATCTCAGACATACAACATAATGCTGTTGTTTTTTTAAAAAACGAATGTGTTACTTTATTACTAACCTTTAAAAATATGCCATCAAGAAACCCTATCTTATATACCATTTTTGGAATTATGTATTAAGTTGTAAAAACTATTTCTGAAAACAAAAAAGGGTTTGCGTGCCCTCTTCCCTCCCCTTCCCTGTGTTTTGAAGAGAACAGGAAATACTAGGATAGCATATTTTGTCATATGAGGTGGTGTCATAACTAAACAATTCGGAACTTGCAAACAGAACATTTAAACCACAAAATCCCCTGCCAGCTTTGCGGACGTAATGAGCTTCAGCTGTGAAAAGGTTTTACTCCACGAGGTACGTAATAAATCATTATCAGGGTAAACACTGCTCTCATGTTGTTCTTTTTGAGTACTGTTCTTAACACCTCAAGGGGCTTTTGCACAAATTATTTTACAAAATCATTAGTTATATTTCTCGTAGATTCTTATATGCCAAAGCATTGTTTTTTAATAACAGACATGTTATTTTTGTCATATTTTGGGGAGATGAAGCAAAGTCTACATATGCAATCCTAAATGTTTAAGTAGCCTTTATACTTTCATTTTAATAGAGTTCCTTAGTTCTGCTTATCTTTGGAGTTCAAAGTATTTATTAGGAGAAATAAAATTGTGCCCTATTACAAATAAATGTCTACAGAAAAATATTAACACATGGCTATATATAACTGCCATGCAGTTTAAAAATGAATTAATTTTTCCTAATGTGAGGTTACATATCAAATAATTTCTTGTACTAGCCCAAGGCACTGACAAAAGGTACAGGTCTAGGGTGAACAGAAAAGTACCCTCAAAGCAAACAGGAAGCAAAAAGTAACAAACATAGGCAAGCTTTATGCTCACACAGAACAAAAAATGTGAATTATCAATATTTACTGGAGAAGGGTCGAATTAACTCCCCGACTCTCCACAGCAGATGATGGCAATTTTATCTAGCTCTCTCTTTCTTATCTTTTTTCCAGACAAAGCAAAAAGAACCACTTTATATAGTACATAATCATTTGAGTCGCTTAGCAAAAACTGAACCAAAAACTGAACCAAAAACTGAACTAGAATGGATTACTGCAATGCGCTCTACGTGGGGCTGCCCCTGAAGACGGCTCGGAAACTTCAATTGGTCCAGCGGGCAGCAGCCAGGATGCTTACCGGGGCTCATTATCAAGAGAGGTCTACCCCTCTGTTTAAGGAGCTCCACTGGCTGCCATTTATTTTCCGAGCCCAATTCAAGGTGCAGGTGCTTACCTACAAAGCCCTGAACGGTTTGGGACCACCCTACCTGCGTGACCGCATCTCCATCTACGAACCCACACGCTCGTCCCGGTCATCTGGGGAGGCCCTGCTCGTGATCCCACCCACGTCGCAAGCGCGCTTGGTGGGGACACGGGACAGGGCCTTTTCTGTGGCTGCCCCCGACTTTGGAATGCCCTTCCAAAAGATCTTCGACAGGCCCCTACTTTAGCAGCTTTCAGAAAGAACCTAAAAACTTGGCTGTTCCGATGTGCCTTCTCAGATTAGGAATCCCCCCATCCCAAGTCCTAGAAGCACTTTAGTACAATTAATATTACTGCACACCGAATTATTTCAATCCTATGTTCCTCCTGCCACTCCAGCACTTTTAACCCTGTACCCCATTGCGCTGGCCGGCCCAGTTTTAAAGTGTCCTGATGTTTTATTACTGTTGTTTGTTATTTTGCTTAACTATTTGATTTGCTTTATTTACTATTGTTGTGTTATGTTTTTTACTGTATTGTGTCTCTGAGGCTTCGGCCTGTGTAAGCCGCATCGAGTCCTTCGGGAGATGCTAGCGGGGTACAAATAAAGTTAATAAATAAATAATAAATAAATAAAATAAATTTCTACAAGAGAGTTGCCATTGTCTTTTATCAGCAGGGATTCCAAATATCTTTCTCTTGGGTCACTATATAAAGGACAGTTTAGCATGTAGTGCACAATGTCTTCCACCTGACACTCCTAATAAATACAGATGCAAAGTCTGTTTTCCAATGGCACATTATGGTGATGACCATCTAACACTGCGGTGGGCATTACTTGGAATCGCAGTTCAGTGAAGGCAGTTCTTAATGAGGATGGCTTCAATTTAATGAAGGTAAAGGTAAAGGTCTCCCCTTGACATTAAGTCTAGTCATGTCCGACTCTGGGGGTTGGTACTCATCTCCATTTCTAAACCTAAGAGCCGGCGTTGTCCATAGATGCCTCCAAGATCATGTGGCCAGCATGACTGCATGCAGCGCCACTTCCTTCCCACCAAAGTGGTACTCAGTGATCTCACATTTGCATGTTTTTGAACTGCTAGGTTGGCAGAAGCTGGAGCTAACAGTGGGAGCTCACCCTGCTCCCCAAATTCGGACTGCCAACCTTTCGGTCAACAAGTTCAGCAGCTCAGTGATTTAAGACACTGTGCCAACAAGGGGGGGGGGCTCCTTAGTCAGATATCTGGCTCTAAAATGTTCTGATCTCAACAAGGGGAACCATGGGGAGAATTTTGTGTTCCTGGTTGATTGCAGATCCCTTATTAAATCAGTCCAAAATAGCCAGTCTCATAATTGCCTCTTATCCATATCCAAGGCAGAATTTAACTCAGAGAGGTTGTAGCTGGGTAGGAGATTTTCTAAACTTATTTTCCAATGTTAATCGTTACTTATTTCCAATTAACACAATGCTGGACAAGGTTTTATATCACAAGTCTTGTTTTTAAAGTGTGCATTACAATAGTAATCTATAAAACAAGATACTCACATGGCCCTGGTCATCCAGTTCATTGTTTGTAAGTTTCAGTTTGTCAAAGCTAATCACTTGTCTCATCCAAGTCTCTCCTGAAGCAGGTGAATCTGGATGAATATATACCCGGGGAGGTACAGGTGAGTCAGCATTGCCAGCCACCATCCATTTGGAGCTGTGATAAACATACCTATAGGAACAAGCCCAAGGAGGATACGAGTAATTTATAAACCAAAAATAGATTGTTTAATTCATATTAAAACAAGAAAGAATTATTCCCTTCTTGACAAAGCAGCTTCCCTATTTCAAGAAAAAGCACAGTTCCAATTTGATACAAAGTACCTGATTTAGCCCAGTGTTTCCTCAAATAAATAGTCCGCCGGGAAATGAAGGCTTCAAATATTAACTAAATGTTTTTTGTTTGTTTTTTTTGTTTTTTTGTTAAAACTGTTTATTTTTATTATGGTACATAACAGCAAAGCAAATCATGGCAGATATAATCAGGTACCAATATTTTTGACGTGTACATGCCTATCTACCTTATTCAGTCAATCAGTTAGTTTTGTCATTAAGTACAAATTATTATCATTTACATATCTTAATACACATAGACTTGCTATTTCTGCCTGTTTTCCACTGCTTTCCGTCAGAGCTTTGTATTAAATTTTTCCATAACATTCAGTAAATCATCACATGACATTTTACACACATACCACAGACCTTACACTCATCCCAAAACCCCTATCCTAAACAAAATAAACCCTCATTCCCACACCTGTGCACCCTTCACCATGACTTCCCACACCAAAACACTATGAAGCCTTTAACCTATTTATTTCTCCTTATTCATGGTAAACCTAAATTCCTAATGGAGCTCCTCTATATTACTGACTCTCTATTCAGATATGCCATGGCCAACTTCCATTTTTCTAGAAAGTCCTCATTACTCTTATTCCTCCTGTTATAAGTTAGTCTGGCCATTAGCATATATTCTCACATTCTTTCCCTCCAATCCTTTTTGGTTAGACCTTTTTCCCCTTTCCAATCTTTGGCTATGGTCAATCTTGCCGCTGCAAAGCTATATTGATATATTTCTTGGTCCTTTTGATTATTGTTTTCTCTCTGTAGACCTAGCAGACACAGTCCTGGGCTTTTTTTAATCTTGTTATGTAACATTTTATTTGTCTCCTTAATTACCTTATCCCAAAATTCCTGTATGATCACACAGGTCCACCAAAAAAAAAAAATAACTAAATGTTGGATTAAATATTAAAAGAAAATCAGTAAAAAAAAATGGAATGTTTAAAATTGCTAAGGAATTATTTGCACAGAAAACCAAATTCTGTGAAGATTCTAAAACGACACTTATCAAAATTGATATTTATCTCACAATGCCTCCTGTGTAAATCCTGTAGGACAGTGATTCTCAACCTGTGGGTCCCCAGGTGTTTTGCCCTACAATTCCCAGAAATCCCAGCCAGTTTACCAGCTGTTAGGATTTCTGGGAGTAGAAGGCCAAAACATCTGAGGAACCACAGTTGAAAACCACTGCTATAGATCAATCCATTTTCTACTCAAAACACTACAAAACCTGATCCAACCAATATATTTAAGAAATAGAGGATCAGAGAGAAAGACATTTCTTAAAATAGCTGTCGAATATTTTTTATTACAATTTTAGATAACCTAGGTCTAAAAACTGAAAAGTCACCAGTGCTACAACCATTCAAATGTATAATAAAACTTGTTTTCTTGTGTACACAGGAAGTACACAAAATTAGTGATCTCATTTTAAAAATATGTATGCCTCAGGTCTGAACCCTCTTTATGTGCCAATATGGAGTTCCTAAAAATAGATACAATATTGAAGTGTCTGCTTCAGTCAGAAGATGTTGAAACCATTGGTACAGAGGAGCTTCATACATACATGAAAATCACTGAAATGGGAAGATCTATCTCATTCACCATTAAAATCTAACCTCTTCAGATCTAACTATGTTTTAGTACCAAGTAAATCATTTATCTTTTTTTTTCTGTTTGCAAGCTCAATGTTCAATCACTGTAGTAAAATATAATCTTTTTGAATAGCCGCAATATTAAATCATGTCAAATATTATCATCTGAATCAACAAAAGCTTTGTCCCCAAAGGAAATTGACATTGCTGGTTCAGAACCTAGCAATCCAATCTTATGCATGTCTCCTCAGAAGTAAGTCAATGGGACTTGAGAGGCTGGATCTACGTTGCAGTTTGAAACTGTATTGTATGGTCATTGTAGACTCATATAATACAATTCAACTGCAGTGAACTGCATTATATGGGTCTACACTGTACATATAAAGGAGTTAGAAACTGTGTTACATGCTAGTGTAGATCCAGTCTTAGGCTCAGGGAAGTGTGTTGGACTGCAATCTGAAAGTTCTTTTCACAACAGAAAAGCTCCTTTGATTCAAAGGAGTGGTTCTGAGGCTTCTACTGGTGAAGGGGAAAGGGGAGGCAGTTTTCAATTATTTCCCCCTTCTCCACACATTTCATTCTCTCTCACACACACAGCTGTTCTGAAGAGTCCTGCAGACCACCCCCACCCCCCATAGATTTCTAGTGAGGGATTAATCAGCTACATCCTCTTCCCCTTCCTTCCACGGCCAGATAAGGATGTGAAAACATTATCCATTTTGTTGAGTTTCTCCACCATTCCCATCCTAACCTATATATCCATCAGAGCTGTTTTGGTTTCTTTCTTTTTTCACATAGAAATTTGTACTCACTTTTTGTAAGCATTTTTATAATATGTGCATGTATTTACATACATTTTTCAACTGCACATCTTTCAGTGGTTTGTATTTTTTTAATTTATGCATGATTTTGAGAGCACAAAATGTACCATAACCTTCACAAATATGTCTGTTTCTTAAGTAAAATAGCTTTGTCCCACTAGGAGCTCTACCAAATACAAATTCCATAATTTCAGGTTTTTACTTTTTGTTTATTTTGTTTTGTTTTTGTGTCAGGAGCGACTTGAGAAAGTCCTGGTGACACAATGGGTTAAAACCCTTGTGCTGCCAGGACTGCTAACCAACAGGTCAGTGGTTCAAATACAGGGAGAGCGGGTTGAGCTCCCTCTGTCAGCTCCAGCTCCCCTTGCAGGGACATGAGAGAAGCCTCCCACAAGAATGGTAAAACATCAAACATCCAGGTGTCCCCGAGCAACGTCCTTGCAAATGGCCAATTCTCTCGCACCAAAAGCGACATAATTTCAGTGAAAATATAACATCAGCATTTTTTCACAACAAATTTTGTACAAGAATTCTAGAGATAGAATTCCATTCATGGAATTCAAGGTCCAGTTCAATGAACATAAAATACAAAGCCCAGGTCTCATGCAAGTCATATTCGTTTCAAAAGGATTTAAAAGTATTACTTCCAATATTTAGAAAGCTCTGTCCCACGGCTCAAGGAATTAGAATAATTTGGGAGAAGGAAATTAATAAAAATGTTTGTATAGAAACATGTGACAAAAGTTGTGTGCATTAATCATGAATATGTAATTTACTGAAGCCAATGAATTAGACGGAAATTTTACAACATTTTAAAGTTATGATTAGTGTTAAAGAAATATATTGTGACTTTTAAAATACAGCACTTATTACAGAACATATGTGCAAAATATCTGTCTATTCATGATGGGCTTGAACACCTTTAAACATGTTTTCTCATTCTTATTATTGTCTTCCATATCTATTTAGTGCTTAATATTTAAACTCGGAGAACTGGTATCCTGTTTGGATCTAAGAGAATACCTTTTTAATCACTGCACATATTTATGCATAAATCTAGAAATTTTAGTCAAAATATATACTCCAAAAATTTGGGACAAAGTATCCACAAGGTCAATGCAAGTGAAGTAATGCAACATTTTTTTCTTTTTAAAAGTAAAATATACACTTCTTCTGAGTGGCAAAAGGTGACAACTTAGTCCATCCTGAGAGAAGGAAAAGAAGCACCAACTACCTCCCTATCACAGTATTTTAATGCCTTTTTGAATGTCTAGATGGAAAAAATGGCAGGGGTGGCCAGGGCAAAGCAGTACCAACATTTCCCCATCTGCGAAATGAGCCTTCACTTTTATCTGTCATATCAAAATCCGTACTTTGAGCCCCAAAACTTGTCCTTGATCTAGACATAAATTTGCCTTATACACAAGTATATATAATAGTTTCCCTGCACTATAATCCAGCAGATGTAAGCTTTGGGGTCTATCAATTGCAAAATGTGTTTTGGTAAAGGAACAAGATTGGAGATAGGATGAGCATAATAAGTACGTTCTATCTTATATATTCTACAGCTCAGTTTTCTAAACAAAAGTGTTACAAAATTGTTCTAGTGATGAATTTAATTAATACAACAATTTGCCCAAGTCTTCTTTAACACCACAATAAATATTATTGAGAAAGAGTTGTAGGGTCCTCAGTTGCTGAGAGCAGCCACTGTCTTCCCATTCCTACAAATTCATGCCAGGAGTTCTTGTGGAAATACGTGCTTAGAATGTACACGGGCCCAGTCAGATTCTATATGAGCAATATCTTATGTTACAATGTTTAAAAGAGCGATTTCTTATAACTCTTGGTCAGTTACTGAAAGTGACTGGGTAAAACAAATACCATACATAATACAATAAATAACTAAAAACAAAGCCATCAAAACTGTTGTTTTATATCTGTGTATATATTTATTTCACTACATTTATATCTCACTTTCCCATTAAAAATATGACCGAAATGGCTAACAATAAAATCTACAGGTAAACATTAACTTAACGAACAATATGAATGGCTCTAAAATCTAAACAACATCATACAAAAATATATATGGCCGTACATGCCAAAGGTCTGTTGTAAACTGAAAAGCTTTTTGTATGTAGGTTGGGAGCCATCAATGTGACGGCAAAAGTAGAGACTTCACAGATGTGAGAGGTCTCTTTCTCAAGTTCCTCCACACTCCCCATCAAAGGTCAATAGGACAGAGTGCAAGGCTTCTTGCAAAATATCAACATCTGAGCAGGTACTGGACTGAAATTATTTATTCAGGGTTATGACCAACACTTTTCACTGTGCCAGAGCTGCAACAGCAGTTAGTGTAACCGTTATAGTTACACGCTCCCTCTAAGGTCAACAGTCTATCTATAACATTTTGAAACAGCTGAAGTTTCTGAACAGATTTCAAAGGCATCTCTCCCTATAACATGCAGCAATAATTCAACCAAATTGAAATTAAGATGTGTGCCACTATGACCATATTGAACAGCTCAAGAGTGGACAGAATTGGCACACCAGACTCTGCTGAGCAGAAAGGACTCCTGGTAGCCACTGAAACACTGGCATCCAGCTGTCGGAGTAAATCCTAATTATCTTGAATACCCTACCCACCCCACAACCATAAAACTGATTTTTAAGCAGGCTATACCCTGTCTAAAGAAGGCTGAATACTATTTCCCTGAATTTGCTTTCTATTTATCTTGTCTACATTAAATGCCCACTTGTTAATCCTCATGCAGTTAATAACAGCTTCCATGGGCTGTTATGGAGAGTAAGACATGGATGACACAAAACTCCAAATTTGGGGTTTTATAATGTATAGGATGAGCATTCTAGTTGTATTTTAGAGACTTAGGCCCTTTCTGCACTGTCCTATATTCCAGGATCTGATCCCAGATTATCTGCTTTAAATTGGATTGTATAAGTCTCCACTGCCAGATAATCTGGGATAAGAAGATAATCTGGGATTAGATGCTGGGATATAGGGACAGTGTGGAAGGGGCCTTAGTAGGTTGGAGCTGGAAGACTGAATGTGTCTCTCAGCTTTAGCACTAGCATTTAAGTCTACCATAAGTATGTATGCTGGAGTTGCAGGAAGGACTTTGTGCCTGATTAAATAGCACAAGCACAACCAGAAATTGGCATTCCAGGTGTTGATCAAATGTTATCCCATTTTTCAGGCTGGCCAACACTGACAAAAATAGACTGATCAATTCATCACTATCTACACTGCCACATATATATAAGTGATATAAATTATAAGTAACAAGATGTAGAGGTCTCAGGAACATCATATGCCAATGGTCAAGATATTAAATGTTGGCCCTTTATTATCACCTACTAGAATCAAAACTCTCAAAAGTACAAGAACCACTCCAGATGAATTCCATCTAGTGCCATCTCAGCGAGGTACTCCAGATTAGTAACACCAAGGGCCACTGAAAAATTCAATAAAACTAAAAAGAAGTGGGCTATTTTCTGCCCAGCATCTAGTGAAGAACATCCACAGAGATGACTAAAGGGGTTTCTTTCACATAACAAATTCTGAAACCAGATACAATTTGATCTAGAGGTTCATATCCTCCATAATAAACAGATTTAAGAACCCATCACACACTCAGGCACTTTCCTAAGAACAGTCAAACATTACTGAATACAGTAAACTCATTCAAGTAGAGCATTTTTAAAAAGAACAATAACATTCCCACTGCCTCTTTTTTGATCCAGTAGAGCCAGTTGCCTCTTGCACAGAGACATTAATCACTCTCCTCACCAACTGAGCCAGCCTCCCTCTTATAGGTTTTTCGAGCCCGGAAGGAAGAGTCGGACAACAATTTCACCTCTCCAATAATTCTATCTACCTCCTTGGACTCTATAGTTTGAGAAATATCACTCAAAACTGGATAAAAGAGAACACAAGCCACACAAACTACTATTGAGTATGGTATGTCATGGTATCCCAATTAGACTATAAATGAATGTGTCTTTATTTGTAAACTATCTTGTAAACAAACTGATCCTAACAATCTTTCAAGAAATCCCTGTTACTCATTTTGTGGATCCTGACGCTATAGGCCAAGGGTCCTCAAACTTCTTAAACAGAGGGCCAGGTCACAGCCCCTCAAACTGTTGGAGGGCCGGATTATAAATTAAAAAAACATGAATGAATTCCTATGCACACTGCACATATCTTATTTGTAGTTCAAAAAACACTTTAAAACAATACAATAATTAAAATGATGAACAATTTTAACAAATATAAAATTATTAGTATTTCAATGGGAAATGTGGGCCTACTTTTGGCTGATGAGATAGGATTGTTGTTGCTGTGTGCTTTCAAGTTGTTTCAGACTTAGGTTGACCCTGAGCGAGGGCCAGGAAAATGACCTTGGAGGGCCGCATCTGGCCCCCGGGCCTTAGTTTGAGGACCCCTGCTATAGGCCCTTGTTCACAGTCTGTACAATTACAACAGCTGAAAATAAACTTTTTTTAGCACCAACACCACCATGGAGCAGGCCTTTAAATGGATTTTAGTCAAAAGTAGGCCATGCTTCATTCATTAACCCAAGGCCCCCAAAAAGATAGAGATCTCATGTGGCTCTATGAACTAAGAAAAGACACTTGGGAGCAAGTATGTCAACTGCTTGGGCCATTTTTCTGTTCTATAAATTAGTGACAACAAAACTGCTGAAAGCTTCACTGAACTCAAATCACCATCATCTACCCAAAAAAAAAAAAAACAGAATAAAAAGAGTATGCTACTTTTAAATGGTTGGGCCAGAAGTAATTTCTTACAGACCCATAATTGCCGCAGAGCCCATGAAAACCTGCACTTCAGCCAGGTAGCAGAACAGTGGATACAGTATTGTAAGTCTCCCAATAACACAAGTTTGGAAAACTTCAATATCACAGTCAAAAATACTGATATAGTTCAGGAGGGGAGAATGCTGAGCACTGGCATAATATCCTTTCTCAGGCACATAAATCAGAAAGATACACTCAAAACTGGATGCATGTGCTACTTGATCGTGTGAAGTCCTTACTGCAACTCTGGCTTACTTGCTTCTTAATATCCCATTAAGTCTCTAAACTACAACCAGAATGCACTTTTTGTATAGGATCAAGACCCAGCTGAGCATTTTTACATTAAGTGATATGTCATTCAAGAATACAATACAAGAGCTAACCAAGGAAACTCAGAGTTCCATTAGTGGACAGATGGTTTCCATAATGGGCAGAAAATAAGAGTTGGGATCCTTTCCCTGTAACAGCCTTGTTAACTGACACTGCCGTTTCATCCAGTATCCTCATTGGAGGACCTAGAGATTCCTAGAAGTAACATTTTAAATCAAATCCATAAATAATCAAATATGAAAAGGCAAAACCACAAATGTGGAATGGTGAATGCACCCATCTATTGAATCCGTCTTCAAGGGCACATCTCTCTTGAAGCAAAATCTACAGAACATCCTATCTGTCTTGAAATAATTCAAGACTATTCAATGGAGTTACACTATCAGTACAGAAATGGTATGTTTACATGTAGCTGTGTAACTCATCTTATGCAAAAAACTTGTGGAACAGGCAAAATATTATCTCAAAGAATATTCCCAGAATAAGGACAATATAAACCTTATACTGTTAAACCGCAGAGCTGCTCAACTCGAATCCAAGGAGCAGGGTGAACTCCCACTGTTAGCCCCAGCTTCTGCCAACCTAGCAGTTTGAAAACATACAAATGTGAGTAGATTGATAGTTATCACTTCTGCGGGAAGGTAATGGTGCTCCATGCAGTCATGCCAGCCGCATGACCTTGGAGATGTCTATGAATAACACTGGCTCTTCGGCTTAGAAATGGAGATGAGCACCACACCCCAGAGTCCGACACCACTAGACTTAATGTCAAAGGAAACTTTTACTTTAAGGACAATATTCACTAACAGTGGTATCCTTTGACCTTGTGGATAATGGCTAACATAGTAGAAGCCCTTCTAACTAGCTTTAGTAAATCTGTTAAAAAGTAAGTGGACTGCTGTTTATATGATGGGGAATAATAATTTGAACAACATAGAATGTGTTCGGTTATATGAGCCAAATATACAAAGCAGGCGTTTAAAAAAATAAATAAAAAGAAAGAAAGAAAGAAAGAAACATTCTTGATTGTTCTCACGTGCTTGGCACAAAGCACATATTTTCTAATGTAATGGGATGAAGATAGGAATTTGAAAGGGAGTTAAGCACAACCTTCTGTTTATTTCCAAACTAGACAGTCTTTCCCATAGTACCCCAAATTTTATATAATTTAGATACTATACCTGTATCTTTTATTGTCCACAGGGACAATATCCATGGCAATGTAATACTGCTGATGGGGGTCCAAGCCTGAAATTTTCACTCTCATTGCAGGAAACATCCGTCTGAACACAGAAAAAAGCATTTAATAAAAAACAGGCTTGAATACAGAAGCAGGAGCATTTCTGGAATCATACTCAACCCTTTCTTTGCTTAAAATTGTATGAAGGACGTTCCTCCCCCCTCTCCCCAATCTATACAGCTAGCTCACAAAATACTATTCACAACATATATATCCAGATTTTACATGCGCATTATTATTACTCCTTTCCTTTAGTAATCCATACTTCATATATTTTCTAAAAGGCTTCCAAAGTACAAAAATATCCACATAATTTTAGTATAGATGTTGATCAGAAAACCATTTCCATTCTGACATTTTATTTTATCAGTTTTAAACGCATTATTAATTTTGGAGTTTTTAGATAGCAATAGGTATGAGTCACAAAGAACAAGAATATTCACATGGTGACAACTTGATACAAAAGCAAGTACCATCAAAATCAATGAAACATTCTTATAGGTCACAGGTCTGAATCAAGAGATGGTGGCATGGATTACAAAGTGTTCTTTCTCACACCTATCCCATCCACCTCTTTCTGTGTATATATTAAAGAATTCACCATGAAGATGGGAGGGGGGGAATCCTAGACATGCATATTTAGAACCAAAACATATGAAAACAAATGGAATTTATTTATGTAAAAATGAACTTTAAATGGGGGCTGTAAATTAAATCAAAGCCCTTTGTTGTTAAGATAACAGACAACATTAGTAACATATAGTGCATGTCTAGAAATGTCTACTCCTGAGTAAATCTTATGTAAAGTCAGGACTACAACTTTTATGAGTCCCCTTGGGGAGATAGGGTGAGCTACAAATAAAGTATTATTATTATTATTATTATTATTATTATTATTATTAAACTATTATGAAACAAGTGACAACATATCCTGTCAGCATATCACTCAGAGATCACATTCTGCTCAAGGAGGCTCATCCTAAAGTGCTGCTTTACAATTAAAATTGGGCCTATATTTATTTGTTAGTTCCAAACTAATCAATGGTACATACAAAAGTACTGGCTTACTAAGTGTCCGCTGATTTAATGGGTCTACTCTAATTGGGGCTTCATGCTGAAGTACTTCATTATAGATATTATCACACTCATTTTCTCATGAGAAAAAAAAACCCAATTCAAAGCTACATTAAATACAAGGGCATTTGTGGCAATTCTTACTAGGATCTAACCAAAGCAGTTTCAGCTTAAGGGAACTGAAAATCTGTTTTATTTTTCAAATAACGTATGCACAGTTTCTGTCTCTGTTAATTTCCTTTCAACAGATTTATATAAATGGCATAGTATCCTTTTCCTTTTATAGAAGGGAACATGCATTTCTTATTTACTTGGGTTTTTGATGTAGCTCTGTACTCATAATATCAAACTTATTGACATCACAGCTAACTAAAGAAGAGAGCAAAACTAGCTGCGACTAACTAGTTCTTGCTGTTATTTCAGTGCACCTGTAAGATAAAAAAAGAAAATCTTTGACAGGACAACTCTTAAGACAAATGTTGCCTTGTGCTGTTTAAGACTGCACTTCAATCATTAGTAAAGCCCCTCTGAAAATGTAGAAGGTAGCATATGGATTCAATAAAATATGTTTCTGTAATTTCTAATGCATTCAGATACTTTTATACCATGCAGGTTTTTTTTTACCATGTGTATCCTTGGAAGGGAAGAAAAAAATTCTCTTTAGAAGAAAGTAGTATTCATATCCCTTGCTTAACATAATGAACAGGAAACCTAGAATTCCACATGTATTTCTATATCGTTTACAATTTTTGCAGGCTATCCGGCTTCATTAATCGATGTTTTTAAATCACTTGGGACTTTATTTACCATCTTTAAATATTACTAGTAACTATATGTTATTTAAATATCCACCTCCAGCAACATATTTTATATGCTATTAAAATGACGGATAGAACTGTGTCATGAAAGAATGTGATGCCAACTGTGATGCCTTAAAAGCAAACATTAATTTATAAAAATTAGAAATAAATGTGTGCTTTTAATATTTGATCCTCTGTAGTTAACATTTTAGAAAAAATAGTCATGTGTAAAAATATCAGAAATGGGGGAACAAAATAAAATAAATATAAACAATTCAGTTTATATTTAAACTTAACTGTTTAAGTTTAAGCACCTGACACGACAAAAAAAACCCAAAAATAATTAAGTGTTCTATAGATAAGTGGTGACCAAAATTGCAGTTAATGTTGACAATTTAGAAACAGATTGGCCACTCTCATCTTAAATCAAATAGAAAAAAAGCATGTCCAAGTCAACAATTTTTCTTCCAAGTTATTAATCTCCTTTCAGGACATTAGTTAATGAAAAGAAACAGACTTTCCTGGAAGTATCAGTAAAATCAGTGCGGCCTCTTTTTAAAAAATGAACATATGGTACAACTAGGGCTAAAGTGAAGAAATTGATGAAATCATAGAACAAATTCCACTTCTGGGAATGGATTTGTTTGCAACCAGTTTGGATCCCCCTGAAAGTGTCTTGTGCTTACATCAAAGAGATTTCCCAATCATTTTGAGAGAGAGAGAGAGAGAGAGGTCAGGGTGACAATTAGATTAACCAAAAGCACTTGGGTGAAGAAGAATGGTGCTGTTTTTTAGAACATCGCTTTTTCTGATGGAAGATGGAACCCTTTCCATCAAAGTGGTGGACATTTGGCAGGGTGGCAAAGCCCGTATTTACACCGGCTTAAATACAAGGCCCAAGGGGAAAAGGTGGTGCTGTTGACATTATTGCTATATAATTAATTTTATATAGCAATTAATTTTATACAGTAATTAATTTTAATTAATTTTATATACCAATTAATTTTTAATTTTAATGAACCTTTAGTGTTTTTATAAATGGAGGTTCATGTTTCTTATGTTGAGATAATTTTAATTGTTTAACTGATTATGTAATTTTAGGTCTCATGTTTATAATTTGTTGTTTGATATCAGGTTACTTTGGAATTTGAGTTGGGTCATTTAATGCAGTCATGTTTATGTCTTAAGACATGAAATATTTGCCTTTGTGTTTTTGTTTGTTGGAAACTGCCCCGAGTCCCCTTGAAGAGATAGGGCAGAATACAAATAAAGTTTATAATTATTGTTATTATTATTATTATTATTATTATTATTATTAGGAGCCCCCGTTGGTGCAATGGTTTAAACCCTTGTGCTGGAAGGACTGCTGACTGAAAAATTGGTGGTTCGAACCTGAGGAGTGGGGTGAGCTCCCATCTGTCAGCTCCAGCTCCCCATGTGGGGACATGAGAGAGGCCTCCCACAGGATGGTCAAACATCCCAGCGTCCCCTAGGCAACGTCCAATCACACCAAAAGCGACTTGCAGTTTCTCAAGTCACTCCTGACATGAAAAAATATTGTTGGTGTTGTTATTGCTATTTACAAACTATCCCCGAGTTACAAACATCTGATTTACAAACAAACATGAGTGAGACAAGAGGAAGAGAGAGAAATCGATCCCTAGGAAGGGAAATTCACTTCTGGAAGAGTTATCATGAGGAAAAGGTGCCTGCAATGAAGCTTCATCACCAATCCTTGTTCCCACAACAAGCCACATTTTTCAAAATCCAATTATCACAGAGACAGAAAGTGTGATTAAATCTATTTACCTAGACAGCAAAATAAATGCCACAGGGGTGTTGACCCTTCCCTATACTATCCAAAGCTAAAAAATAATTATTTTTGACTAGGGTTACACTTAAAAAATGTACCTGTTCTGACTTAGAAACATATTCAACTTAAGAGCAAACCCACAGAACCTATCTTGCTGGTAAGGGAGAGTGAAGTGAGATCTTACGAACGGGCACAGGCAGTTGGGCCTTACTTTGGACGGCCAGGGCTGCAAGGAAGGGGTTGTTTACCTCTTCCTTGCAGCCCTGGCCGTCCAAAGGAAGGCCCAACTAGGAGTTCAAGCGAAGCGTTACCTGCCGGCCTTGGTGATGATCATCTCGGTGCCAATCTCGTGGAAGCGCTTCCAAAGCTCGGCGCCCTGGAGGTCCACGCGCGGCGCCTGCGGGGACAGGAGCGGGGAGGCCGGGCGGGAGGCCGCGGCCTTGGGCGGGCAGCCCACGGGAGGAGGAGGAGGCGGCGGCGTGGCAGGCCCGCTCAGGAAGCCCTCCTCGCAGCTGCCTGGGGAAAGGAAGGGGAATCAGTCAGGGAGAGGCAGAGGCACCAAAGCATCACCGCCTGGGCTCAGTGCTGTGGACCAGGCCTGGGCCAACTTGGGCCCTGCCTTCAGGTGTTTTGGATTTCAATTCCCGCCATTCCTCACAGCCTCAGGCCCCTTCCTTTTCCCCCTCAGCCGCTTAAGCCACCCTAAACTATAAAGCCCAGAATTCTGCAGGATGGAGAAACCAGATTTTCAGGGGATTTTTCTCTCTAGTGTGATGATGTTTTTAAATGGTGTCATGCTGCACCCTACTCGACAGTGTGGATCTACACATCTTTCTGTGATTTGAAAGCAGCCATGGTCATAAACATCTCTCCAAGCACCTTGGAGAGATGTTTGTGATTGATCCACATTTTGTTTGGGAGGAAAATACTGGTGACTTTTGGTGGTTCAGTGCCACTGCTACTCTTGGAAAAGAGATTTTAAAATGGGCCTAAAACCAACCTTAAAAACACCAAGAACTGAGAAGCCCTGGAGGTCAGCAGTGCTGCAGAATTTGAAGAGGCACAACTGGAGGTCAGCTGTGACCAGCAGTGCTGCAGAATTTGAAGAGGCACAATTGAGGGCAAAAGAGAGAAAGAAGGCAATCACGTCGACCCCGACCAGGACCAGACCGCCTTCCACCTGGAAACTGATGCCCTCACTGCGGGAGAACATGCAGGTCCAGAATAGGGCTTCACAGTCACCTACTTGCCCAACTCTGGCATAGACACCGAGAATTGGGAAGCCCTGGCCTTTGAGCACTCCAGCTGGAGGTCAGCTGTGACCAGCAGTGCTGCAGAATTTGAAGAGGCACAATAGAGGGCAAAAGAGAGAAACGTGCCAAGAAGTGCCAAGAGGAAGGCAATCACGCCAATGCCCCACCGCCAGGACACCAATCTTGGAAGACAATCCTACTCCGCCTAAGTAAGCCCCTGCTACACTGCCCTATAATCCAGTTCCTAGATCCAAATTATCTGCTTTGAACTGGATTATATGGCAGCGTGGATCCTGCCTGAGGCCCCTTCCACACAGCTGAGTAAAATTCCACTTAATCTCTATTGAACTGGAATATATGGCAGTGTGGACTAAGGGCCTTTCCACACAGCCCTCTATCCCAGAATATCAAGGCAGAAAATCCCATATTATCTGACTGTGACCTCTGATAACCCAGTTCAAAGCAGATATTGTGGGATATATGGCTGTGTGGAAGGGCCCTGGGTTATCTGAACCCATACTGCCATATAACCCAGTTCAAAGCAGATATTGTGGGATTTTCTACCTTGATATTCTGGGTTATATAGAATCAAAGAGTCGGAAGAGACCTCATGGGCCATCCAGTCCAACCCCCTGCCAAGAAGCAGGAAAATTGCATTCAAAGCGCCCCAACAGATGGCCATCCAGCCTCTGTTTAAAAGCTTCCAAAGTAGGAGCCTCCACCACACTCCGAGGCAGAGAGTTCCACTGCTGAACTGCTCTCACACAGTCAGGAAGTTCTTCCTAATGTTCAGATGGAATCTCCTTTACTGTAGTTTGAACCCATTGTTCCTCTTGTGTCCTAGTCTCCAGGGCAGCAGAAAACAAGTTCGCTCCCTCTTCCCTATGACTTCCTCTCATATATCTCATATATCATGTCTCCCCTCAGCCTTCTCTTCTTCAGGCTAAACATGCCCAGCTCTTTAAGCCGCTCTTCATAGGGCTGTGTGGAAGGGCCCTCAGTCAAACAATCCTATTCAGCCATATTTGGAGCAAAATCCCACAGTGGGGAGAAGCTAAAGGCAAGGGCTGAGGCTGCAGAACTTTTCCCTCACAGCTGAATAAAATCCCGCATTATCTGCTTTGAACTGGGATAGATGGCAGTGTGGACTCAGATAACCCAATTCAAAGCAGATATTGTACGATTTTCTGCCTTGATGTTCTGGGATTTAGGACTGTGTGGAAGGACCCTGAGGAAGGCCCAAAAGCCTTGCTTTGCTTCAAGGCTTTCAAACTGGGCGGGAAAAATCCAAAGGGGGGCGCTATCCAAGGAGAGTGGGGCAGGTTGCTTTGGTGGGAAATTTAGGAAAGCCGTTTTCTTTTTTCCTCAAAGGAGAAGGCCTCAAAGCAGAGGTCGAGTAGCAAAAGCTCCGGTTTGGCCTGGAAATCACGGCGGGCCTCCAAGGAAGTCCCGCGGCTTTCCGATGGAAATTAAACCTGAACGGAATGGAAACGAAACATCGTCGATGCTCTCGTTTTGAGGGCCATTTTTAAGGGGGGGAATCGTATTATTACGCCTCGTATGTTCCAGCCACAGAACAGAGGCCTTATTTTAGTAGTTTCGCTTTTCCACAACGGGCTCTACGAGGCTTTCTAACTGTCATCTATTGCAGGCCCCTTCCACACAGCTGAATAAAATCCCACATTATCTGCTTTGAACTGGGTTATATGGCAGTGTGGACGAAGATAACTCGGGGCTCTTCCACACAGCCCTATATTCCAGAATATCAAGGCAGAAAACCCCACAATATCTGTTTTGAACTGGGTTATATGGCAGTGTGGACTCAGATAACTTGGGGCCCTTCCACACAACTCTACAACCTAGAATATCAAGGCAGAAAATCCCACAATATCTCCTTTGAACTGGTTTTTTTGAGTCCACACTCAGATAATGTGGGATTTTCTGCCTTGATATTTGGTATATAGGGCAGTGTGGAAGGGGCCTTAGTTCAAAGCAGATAATGTGGGATGTATTGTCGAAGGCTTTCACGGCTGGAATCACTGGGTTGTTGTAGGTTTTTCAGGCTGACATTTCGCCTGCATCTATGGCAGCATCCTCAGAGGTTGTGAGGTACCACAACCTCTGAGGATGCCTGCCATAGATGCAGGCAAAAAGTCAGGAAAGAATGCTTCTAGAACATGGCAATATAGCCCGAAAAACCTACAACAACCCAGATAATGTGGGATTTTCTGCCTTGATATACTGGGTTTTATGGCTGTGTGGAAGGGCCCTGCTCTCCCATGAAGTGGTTAATTAATAAAGGATGCTTAATAAACTGGGGTTGCTGGGGCGACTATCACGCAGGCCCGTATCCTATTGAAATACTAATATTTAGACTAAAATATATATGGGCACATGCCAGCTCTGCCCCAATTGAACCTAAGGAAGAACTGGAAAGAAATAGGAATAGTAAATAAATCGAGCGATCCAACTGCTTCCAAAGCGAAAGAGTTAAGAAAGGCATCTAATTCTTTAAACAAATCCCTAAAATGTGGTCCCTTCCACTCAGTGAATAAAATCTCATATTATCTGCTTTGAACTGGATTATATGGCAGTCTAGACTCAGATAACCCAGTTCAAAGCAAATATTATGCCTTGATATTCTAGGTTATATGGCCCTGATTTTGAACTGGGTTACCTGAATCCACACTGCCATATATTCCAGTTCAAAGCAGAAAATGTGGGATTTTATTCAGCTTTGTGGAAGGGGCCCAAGGAGCAGGGACTATAAACTAAATCTTCCTATCTATCTATCTTCCTATCTATTGAGTCCCCCCAGGGGAGAGAAAGGCGGTATATAAATACTGTAAATAAAATATCTATCTATCATTTCATAGCCTCCTCTGATTCTTACATATTATTACTCAATTTAATAAAAGGCATCCCTATTCCTCACTGTCTCCTTATAAAAGCCCAAAATTAAAACTTAAAATAGTGTTTTAAAAACTTTTTTACATATATAAAGGAATGGCGGGAAAGGAATCGCCCCATCTGTTTCTAAGGAAAGTTTTCCACTTTTAGCCCAAGTTGGGCAAAGAAGGAAAGAGCTGCAACTAAATGCTACTCAACAATAATAAAATGTAAAAAGTGATCGGATATCAGAAATCTCTCTCCTGTTATTATGCAGTTATAACATTAATAACAAAAAACAGTGATTGCTAAGAAATATTGGTCATGGTAATTTATTTATTTCCAATATTTCTATCCCGCTCTTCTCAACCCCCAGGTGACTAGAACTCATTATGAATAAAATGGGGAACATTATTAACTATATACAGGACTAGAATGAAATTTGTCTGACTAAATAAGCTTTCCCAACACCCTGTCTTTACAAAAAGTTGTGAATGGTTCAAGATTGTCACTGCAACCCATGATAAAAATAAAATAAAATTGCGTATTTAGGTCCCATTAATGGGTTGTGTCCATGAAATGAATTCAAGGGACCGATTTTAGCACCAATCTGGCACAAGTTTAAATAAAAGAATCTAGGTTAGAGCTCAAGATTTTGAGTGAATATTTATAGAGAGAAAGAGGTGGAGTAAAAATAAAATCCATAAACGAGTAAAAGAAAAATAGGACTGTGTTGTTATAAGGGGAGGCTTTGCGAAAGTGCAGTTTCCCGGGATGTTAGATCGGGAGTAAATTTAATTCAGAATTACCTTTATAAGAATATGCGGGGACATCTAGGGCCCTTCCACACAGTCATATTACCTAGAATATCAAGGCAGAAAATCCCACAATTTCTACTTTGAACTGGGTTATCTGAGTCCACAATGCCATATATTCCAGTTCAAAGCAGAAAATGTGGGATTTTATTCAGCTGTGTAGAAGAGGCCCAAGATTGCAGAATTAATGCAGTTTGACGCCCCTTGAACTGCTATGGCTCAATCCTGGGAGTTGGGAGTTTCACAAAGTCTTCTCTGCCGAAGAGTTTCCCTCACCAAACTACAATTCCCAGGATTTCATAACATGAAGCCGTGGCGGTTCAAGTGGCGTCAAACTGCAGTCATCCAGCAGTGTAGATGCACTCTGCGTGGGATTGATGAACTGAAAATCACTTGAAGGAAACTAAACTGGGATGCGACTGCAAAGTGGGATATTCCTCAAATAACGACCAGAAAGGGGTGGCCTCGGAGTACTTAAAGTACTTAAACTTTTCAGGACAGCCTACCACCTTTGCCGTCAGAAAGGTGCATCTCTACCAACTTGGGCCCTTCGTGTGTTTTGAACTTCAACTCTCACCATTCTTAATGGTGAAGCTCCTTCCTTAAGCGGTTGAGGGGGAAAGGAAAGGGCCTGAGGCTGTTAGGAATGTTGGGAGCTGCAGTCCAAAACCCCTGGAGGGAGGGCCCAAGTTGGCCCATGCCTGATCTATATAGTAGAATGAATGCAGTTTGGTCCCGCTTTAACTGACATGGATGAATGCTAGGAAATACTGAGATTGGTGCTCTGGTGAGGCGCAGCACTATCTAGCAGAGAGAAGGGTAAACAAACATGTTGCAAAACTACAACTCCCAGAGATTCCTTAGCATCACGCCACAGGAATTCAAAGTGGTGTCCAAGCGCATTCCTTCTCCAATGTAGATGCATCCCGAGGGCCTTTCAACACAGATATATAACCCAGAATATCAGGGCAGAAAATCCCACAATATCTGCTTTGAACCAAGGGCCCTTCCACACAGCCCTATATCCCAGAATATCAAAGCAGAAGATCCCACAATATCTGCTTTGAACTGGGTTATCTGAGGGCCTTTCCACACAGCCCTATATCCCAGAATATCAAGGCAGAAAATCCCACAATATCTGAGTGTGGACTCAGATAACCCAGTTCAAAGCAGATATTGTGGGATTTCTCTGCCTTGATATTCTGGGATATAGGACTGTGTTGAAAGGGCCCTGAATTATCTGAGTTCACACTGCCATATAACCCAGTTGAAAGCAGATATTGTGGAGTTTTCTGCCTTGATATTCTGGGTTATGGGGCTGTGTGGAACAGCCCCAAGTTATCGGAGTCCAAACTGCCATATGACCCAGTTCAAAGCAGACATTGTGGAGTTTTCTGCCGTGATATTCTGGGATATAGGACTGTGTTGGAAGGGCCCTGAATTATCTAAGTCCACACTGCCATATAACCCAGTTCAAAGTAGATATTGTGGAGCTTTCCGCCTTGATATTCTGGGTTATGGGGCTGTGTGGAAGACCCCCAAGTTATCTGAGTCCACACAGCCATATATTCCAATTCAAAGCAGAAAATGTGGGATTTTACTCTGCTGAGTGGAAGGGGCCTGAGACTATATTAGAGGACGGGATGTCTCCAAATAATATATCCAGAGTATAGATTCCTCCAAAACTTACACAAGTCCTGAGTCTAATTCGGAGTTAAATTCTGCCCCATTGAATGCGGTTGGGAGCTCCAAAGCGCCAGGCGACCAAAGCAAGCCCGTAAGGCGCACCCAGCGGTTTGTGCCTTCGAGCTGGTTCCTCTGCCCCCCGCTGCAGAGGCTCAGTGGGGCTGTCCCGCGTGGACACTGTCCCGTGCCACTCACTCACCGGGAGGCTCGGCGGTGCCCGCTCCTCCTCCTCCGCCGGCGTCCCCTTCGGCGCCCCCTTCTCCGCCCGGAGGCCTCTCGGAGCAGAGGCCGGGCGCCCCCTCGGCAGCCATCATCGCCTCCTCAGCCCCGGAGGCCAGCTTCCGCCGCTTTTGCTGCTGCTGCTGCTGCTGCTTCTCGGCCCCGATGAGCGCCTCCACGGAGAAGGCGTGCGCCTTGAGGCTCAGCATGGTGCAAGGCGAGGCTCGCCTTTTCTCGGCCATGGCCCCAGCCAGAGAGAGAGAGAGCGAGAGCGGGCTTTCCTCTCCTCCTTCCCTTTCCTCCCTTCTTCTTCTTCTTCTTCCCGAGGCCTTGCTCCGACTCCCTCCCAAACGCCTCCCCCTTTGCTCCTAGCCGCCCCCTCCCTCCCTCCCTCCCTCCCTCCCTCTCTCCTTCCCTTCTTTTCGGATCCCTTCTTCCCAAAATCAGTCCTTTCCCCTAAAAAGCGAGTCTTCTCGCCTTTCCCCCTCCTCCTCTCCTTCTTCCTCTTCTGCTTGTTCTTCTCCTTCCTCTTCTTCTCTTTCTCCGTCTCCTTCTTCTTCTCCTCCTCCTCCTCCTTCTCTTTCTCCTTCCCCTCCTCTTCCTCCTGCGAGCTCAGCCCCGTCTGAAAGGCCAAACCGTCCTGACACGGGGAACAAACGCTCTGCGGACACAAATTAGGGCTTGTAATTGAAATTTGTTGCCTTGATCTGTCAGCACTTCTAAGCAGGAGACCCGGTTGCGGGGGGGAGAGGGGGATGGGGGAGAGCGCTCATTAGTGACCATAMAGTGGCTGGGAGGGGGCGGAGCCTGGCCCCAGGGAGAGCGGCTGCCAATCAAGAAGCGGCCTCAACCAATCAGAAGGAACGGATCCCCCCACCCTCCCCCTCTTCCTTTTTCAACCAGGCGCTTCTTCCTTAGAAGGGTATAAAATGAATGGGGAGGGGAGCCCCATCTCCAAGTGATCAATGGATTCAGTTTGCAATCGATGCCTAGAAACATAGGGTGCGTCTGCCTTGTGGTATGAATGCAGTCTAACACCGCTTTAACTGCCATCATGGCATAAGGCTATGGGATCTAGTTTGTTTCTTTAATTAGATTGTTTATATTAGACCTCGCAACCTCTGAGGATGCCTGCCATAGATGCAGGCGAAACGTCAGGAGAGAATGCCTCAGGAACATGGCAACACAGCCCAACCAGTTGTTTATATTTTCTAATGCGCTTTGTCTTGATGTCAACTGTTTTGTATGGTTTTCTTTGGGCATTGGTTTGTTGTCATATATATTTGGAAACCGCCCTGAGTCCCTTCGGGGAGATAGGGCGGTCTATAAATAAAGTTTATTATTTTATTATTATATTATGTTTATTATTTTATTACCATGTTCCCTACATGGTGAGGCACCAACTTTGGTGAGTCGTTGTGAAAGGACAAGTTATAGCCTTGCAGTGGGGTCACACTGCATTCATTCTCCAGTGTAGATGCATCCCTAGTTGGCTAGGGAGCTGGATTAGTCTTTCAAAAGAGAGGAGTTCACTGTCCCTGAATTTTTTTCACTTAATAAAAATGAGAGGAACCGTCACCCTCAGTGTAAGTTTATATACGTCAACCTGAAGCCGATGCCATGGATTTCACAGGATTTCCTTAGGCAAGGAATCAGAGATGGGTTGCTGTGAGTTTTCCGGGCTGGATGGCCATACTGCCTGCCATAAATACAGGCGAAACGTCAGGAGAGAATGCTTCTAGAACATGGCCATCCAGCCCGAAAAACCTACAACAACCCAGTGATTGCAGCCATGAAAGCCTTCAACAACACATTAAATTAGAGATGGTTTTGTCAGTTCCTTCCCTTGAAGTATAGCCTGGGATTCCCTGCCTGACTCCCATCCAAGGACGAACCAGAGGTGGCCATGCTTAGGCAGGATCCGATGGTTAGGAAAACAAATAATCACCAATTTACTAACTAAATAAGTATGTTTTGTTTTAGTTTTGCCTCTCATACTTAAAAGAAAACGGCATATGAATAGCTGTAACGATTGGGTTGTGGTAGGTTTGTCGGGCTATGTGGCCATGTTCTAGAAGCATTACCTCCTGACGTTTTTCCTACTTCTATGGCAGGCATCCTCAGAGGTCTATTACATTCACACTTGCCTCTGACAGACAAGAGTTCTTTCTTCCACCCTGGATTTTCCACAGATATCTAAACCCCATTTTCCTAGTTTCCAACAGACCTCACAAACTCTGAGGACGCCTGCCATAGATGCAGGCGAAAGGTCGGGAAAGAATGCTTCTAGAACATGGCCATACAGCCCGAAAAACGTACAACAACCCAGTGATTCCGGCCATGAAAGCCTTCGACAATAGATGTAATGATTATCTGTACTGGTCACTTTCTTTCTTTCTGGAAGGAAAAGTTACTGATTCCTATTTGTAACTCTTACGATAGAGACTAATAATATTCTAGGCTGCTCCCAATAACTCTTGCAGACAAGGTTGTGAGCTTTCCAACAAGAAACAGTCTGATATGAGTTTCCATGCAGCTTTCTGGCTGCGTGTTTGATCAATCTGGAAAACCAGAGCGATGCTTTCACTGCGCCACGAAGGGAAGATTTCTGGGGTGAAAACATTGCCTTGAAGAGAAATTTCCCCATTTTCCTTCTTTCCAACAGACCTCACAACCTCTGAGGAAGCCTGCCATAGATGCGGGCGAAGCGTCAGGAGAGAATGCTTCTGGAACATGGCCATACAGCCCGGAAAACTCAAAACAACCCAGTGATTCCGGCCGTGAAAGCCTTCCACAATACATTGCTTTGAAGAGCTAAGATAACATGGCTGAGAAATTCCCCTGCACAAGAGCAAACTGTATTTGTATAGCTTGAGGGCGGAAACATTCTCCTCTGAGTTGTTGTAGGTTTTCCGGGCTGTATGGCCATGTTCTAGAAGCATTCTCTCCTGACGTTTCGCCCGCATCTATGGCAGGCATCCTCAGAGGTTATGAGGTTCTCCTCTGATCCATATATACCTAGGGATGCCTTCTTGGTGCCGGTTTTGGAGACCTGGGGGTTTCCATGGGAATACAACCTCGCCCTCTGCCCATTTCACTCTGGAGAGCCAAACCAATCAGCCGGGCTTGGAAAGCTTGAATCCATTCACTCGTATTATAACAATAACCGAAACTATTTAATCTGAATCGATTGCGAATGCTGTCCTGCTGATCGTACCACTTATTTTTTCGACTTCCCTTTTTGGCAAAGCGTTGCACGACCGTTCCTGAAAGGATGAGCCTCCAGCCCAAAGCGGGTAGTTGGAAGAAACTACATTATAAACCCTATAGATATAATTTAAGTGTGGATCCGGCTGTATTGGTTCAAAGTGAGGCTCGGGTGTTTAGAAATGTTCTCAGCAGCAGAGAGAAGGATCTTCGGCGAATGTGTGTCGCGCCTGCTTGGTTTGATTTCACTCCCTGCATTCATGGATTGATTCTAGGGAGACTTTTCCCAGCCGGTCCAAGCCTCTTCCCCATCGCTTGTGGGGCAGCCATCCAATATCTCAAGGGGGCGTCCTCGCCTCCACAGAGGCAGGTGCGGGTTTGCAGCACCAAATAAGACCTATTTTCCATCAACAAACAACCCTCGAAAAGCTCCGTTTCAAGAAAGCACCACACAGCTGCTTGTCAAAAGCTGGAGCTGGCTTTCCATCCTCTCTCCCTTCTATTATTTTCCTGTCTTGTCTTTTCCTTCTTTCTTCCCTCTCTTCCTAATTCTTTTTTCTTTCTTTTCTTTCTTCTCGCCTTGGTTCACGATCAGTTAATGTCTGTAAACTTGGAAGTAAAACCTTCCAATTGCAACTGAAATTTTCTTCTTTCTTTTCTTCTTTCCTCCCTCCCTTCCTTTCTCTCTCTTCCTTCTCTCCCGATCTAGATCAATAAAATCTGTAAACTCGAAAATAAGACCTATCTCAACTGAAATTTTCGTTCTTTTCTTCCTTCCTTCCTTCCTTCCTTCCTTCCTTCCTTCCTTCCTTCCTTCCTTCCTTCCTTCCTTCCTTCCTTCCTTTCTTCCCTCCCTCTCTCCCTTCCTTATTCTCTCCCTCTCCTCTCACTTTCCTTCCTTCCTTCCCTCCCTATCTAGAGCAATAAACCTCCATCTGTAAACTTGAAAGTAAAGTCTAAGCATCTCAACTGATTTTTTTTCCTTCCTTCCTTCCTTCCCTCCCTCCCTCCCTTCCTTATTCTCTCCCTCTCCTTCTCTCTCTCTTTTATTTCCTTCCTTCCTTCTTCCCTCCCTCCCTAGAACAATAAACCTCCATCTGTAAACTTGAAAGTAAAACATAACCATCTCAACAGAATTTTTCATCTTTCTTTCTTTTTCTTTCCTCCCTTTCTCTGTCCCCTTCTCTCTTTTTTTCTTCCCTCCCTCCCTCCCTTCCCTATCTAGAGCAATAATCCTCCATCTGTAAACTTGAAAGTAAAACCTAAGCATCTCAACTGATTTTCTCTTTCTTTCTTTCTTTCTTTCTTTCTTTCTTTCTTTCTTTCTTTCTTTCTTTCTTTCTTTCTTCTTTCTTTCTTTCTTTCTTTCTTTCTTTCTTTCTTTCTTCTTCCCCCTTTCTCTCTCTTTTCCTTCCTTCCTTCCTTCCTTCCTTCCTTCCTTCCTTCCTTCCTTGCTTCCTTCCTTCCTTCCTTCTCTTCCGATCTAGATCAATAAACCTCCGCCTGTAAACTTGAAAGCAAAACCTAAGCATCTCAACTTAAATTTTCTTCGTTCTCTTCCTTCCTCCCTTTCTTCTTTTCCTCTCCCTCCCCTTCTCTCTCTCTCTTCTTTCTTTCTTTCTTTCTTTCTTTCTTTCTTTCTTTTCTTTCTTTCTCCTTACTTCTTTCCCTCCCTCTCTGTCTAAATAAGCCTTCATCTTGTAAACTTGAAATTAAAACCTAACCATCTCAACTGATATTTTCTTCTTCCCTCCCTCCCTTTCCTTCTCTCTCTCTCTTCCGTCCTTCCTTCTTTCCTTCCTTCCTTCCTTCCCTCCCTATCTAGATAACTAAACCTCCAACTGTAAACTAGGAAGTAAAACCTACCGATTTCTTCTGATTTGTGTTCAGCTCCACTTCACTAGTATTCCCTTCTGTAAGAGAAAGAGGAGGGTAGCGATGGTGCTTTCCTTGCCAGAAATCCCGCCAAGACTTCTTTCGGGTCACTAATGCCTAGGAGGGCTGCTTTCTCATCCCCCCCCCCCCCCAGGGATCATATGCAAACAGGTAGAGAAGTCTTTTCCTTCGCTTCGCATTGTATGGCAGGTAGAGGGGGAAGGCAAACAAAATCTGAAAGTCCTCGACTTGGTGCAGGGGTTAGAATAGAGATCTGGAAGGTCCCGGTT